GGCGTACGTGGCCGCAGCGGCCGAAGCTTGTTCAAGACTCGTTGGAGTCTGTCGCAAACTTAGGTGCACACACAGCGTATAGACTTAAACGAGGCGAGGTCTCCCTAGGTGTTTTCTAATGAGGTTTGGTTTCGTTGGTTTCTGTCCCCTTCATTTGTTTCCCCTCTCATCCTTTTCCCGTTCACACACATCTGTTTTCCTCTTTTCTTTCATGTCCTCCTGTCTTCATGTCTTTTCATCCCATTCTTACTTTCGTTTGCGCGCGCATTGGTCCCGGCCTTAGCGTGTACGCGCACAACCACATTTACTTCAAACCCAGGTTTTAGGTGGCCTAGGCCTAGGTCTTTACAATGAGGTGGGTTTCATTGTTTGTCCCTGTGCACTTGGTTCCCTTTCATCACAACCACATACGCCTTTGTCGCGTCCCGTCCCCTTGTCATGTCTTCATTCTTTTGTCTTTCGCGCGGGCGCGCGCGGGCGCATGCGTCTTGCCTGACTCTTAACAGCGGCACTCCAACGAAGAGGCTGTTTTGGGTCACTGATGTGGATTCTGGACGCAGAATCCACGTACCTGCTGAAGTGTGATGTTCACAAGCTGTGATTCTACTCTTCCTTAAAGGGCTAGTGCACGCGGCAGACAAGAGCGTACGTCGTCAGCTTGTCGTTCGATCGATCGTTGTTTCCTTTTGGATTTGATGGGCGCCAGAAACTTGATGGACCTCCACTTCCTTTCAGGGTTTTCACGTGTACCTTTAGGAAATGGTTACCTAGGCCGGCGTGTGGCAAAGGCTTTCAAATCAGTACGCATTTCTATATATAAGTGTGTGCGTGTGTCTTTGACATTCTTGGGGTCTCATGACAGGACAATTCCTTTTTGTTCGTCACTTTCCCGTTTTTGGCGCAAGATGTTCAACCTGCCAGGTCAAAGTGCAATCCAAGTCTATCCGACTAGCAGTATGTAAGACATCCAGTCAACCCTCCCTTCTGCACTGACACCTTGTCATCTAGCAACTGTTCCCGCAGGCGCCCCTTCAAGCGGATTTTTGATGAGTGGAAAAGTGGTGTGGGAAAAGCATACTTGACAGACTTCACAGCATAGAGGAGCAGCTGGAGAATTCCTGAATATGCTGGAGGATGTCAGTTGAGAATTTGGTGAGCCTCCCAGAGCCTATTTTTCAGCGAACCTTGATCTTGCTGGAGATCAAGAGTAGCTTAAGCGAGTGCTGGCAAAATGCCAGCGTTGCTTTCGATGACTTGAGGTTCTTCCAGAAGGAACCAAAGAAAAAGGGGTGTAGAGCAATGTACATGAAATCCACCAACAACTTTAGCAGATTTCATATGGTCAAGGCAGCAACAATGTTTGTGCCCAACACCCTGGTTTTCAGATGCTAAACCACCAACACGCCCTTTGTGCTTGGTGGGACAACCCAGGTACCATCTTGACGGAGAACATCTCGACAGTGGCATTGCTACCCTTGGAACGAATGCTGGATGTGGTTCGTCCCTTGGCACTTTCAATCGAACTTTGCTTGGCGCGACGGATTTTTGTTTTTGGTTCTCTTGAGAACCTGTATGTTCTTTTTCTCCGAACTGAAAGGGGCTTGGCTTGGAGGGTGACCCTTTGATTTCAGGACAGGCCATTTTGCTGGGTGATATTTTTTTCTTTTTGCAGGTCATCAATGCGCTCAGATCTTCAAGTACACGAATGCCCTTCAGGAGCAAGAAATCAGAGTATGTTGGATTCAGGATCTAATGGTTCGTTTTATGTTGCAAGTCTTGGATGTGATATGTTTCAAGCGTGACCTCACTTTGTTTCAGAAACATGTCTAGCCTAACAGACAACCTCTCCTTTTGAAGGCTTCACGGCTTTGCATTTTGAAGGTCTGAGTCCGACCATCATCTCCATCGACGGTCTCCATCTTGACAGTTTGAACATGTTTGAACCCAACTTGTTTTCCCTCCGGACCATTTTCTTGAACAGGATTGTTTTCCTGGTTCCTGGTTATCATGACAAGCAGCTGCGCCCACAGGAAGAGGCTTCGAGCGATGAAGATGAGGAAGAGGAGGATGAGGATGAAGATGAACCTGAGGCAGCAACCAGCGACATGAAGATGAACGATTGCACCCAGCCCTGCATGGGCCGCATGGGGTCTTATTATAACTGCAAGGTTGTCAGTTGTATACTGAGTCGTATTGGGAAAGAAACAAACAACACACACAACTCATCATGTTCTTTGGCGCCTTTTAGAGGAATTCACCTCTCTTCCATCAACAGGAGAAAGAAGAAGAGACTGACAATGAGTTCGCGCTGTTGGAAAAGGCATTGACCTGCAGTTGAACCTGGCGTTGCCTGGTGTGGCAAATGGCTCCCTAGTTGGAGTAGACACTTCATTGAAGCCAGAAGAACTTGCTATCTCAATGTCTATAGTTTGGTTGTCCGGTTGCTTTTATGATGCATGCATGTATGGGCTTCCTTTAATTACATCCTGGAACTTCAGACAGTTCCACCTCTTTTGGGATGGCAGGTTCCGCATGAGCAGTCAGAAACCTGCTTCGCAGGCTGTCGCGAAGCTTGGAGCCATCGCCGCACTTTCAGCCCAGGCCGGCGGAGAAAAAAGCCACTGTTGAGTGGGTGGCGCCATCGCCCCTCCAAGCGATTTCGGGTTTTTATGGGCCTTTGACCCGCTTATAGTGGATTGAGAGGACCAATGGCACAGACCCCCCTTGGGGGGTGGCGTTTCTTTGACCCCCCATGTAAAGGACATTTTGAGGTTTGTGCCATCTACTCTAAAACCTCTATATACAAAGGTTCTTCCAAAGCTGCGAGGGATGTGGTCATGACAGCTGGATTTCCAGCTGATGACAGTGAGACTTGGGACGCTCGCCAGTCAGAACTTCCATTTACGGCCCAAAGCCGGAGATCACATATACATCCTCGGCTTTGTGCTGGTGCATTCTCGCAGTCCTCGACACTTTTCGAGGTCCTTCGGTCCTTCGTCTTGTCCGGTCTCTTGTCGTCAGCTCGTCCCTTCCTTCGAGCCATCTGATCCCATGAGGATCCTGCGCAAAAGATGTGGACTGAGAATGACATCATGGCATCATGGATCGAAAAAAAATGCGAGGGGCAGGGGCAGTTGGAGCGTCGAACCATGCGAGGGGCAGTTGGCGAGTTGGTTGTCGGTCAAATCTGGAGGTACTTGACTCATTGACGGTAGAATCTGGATTACACAATACGGCCCCCCCATTTGGATTGTAAAACATCTTCATATGGTCTCTTTGATTTATCACCATTCTACATGACCTTTCAGGCAGCAAAGTCTTCTTCGGCTCTGTGAATCATCATGGTGGCTCCGTTGAGAAAGAACCTTTTTTAAGCCAGGTGATGGAAACTGATCGTTGTAGTGATCAACCGACATGACATGACAAGCGACGTTTTTGTTGGTGTCGTTAATTTTGTATACCTGGAGGTTTGTTTTTTTTTGGTACTCTCCTATGGGAAGTTCCACCCATGTTTCAATCGACCCACAGGATAACCGACTTGGACTGGAAGTCCAGGCAACAAGAACTGAAGGGTGACTGGCCAGAGCCGGCCACGCAGACATGGAGACGGGTTTTTTGGAGGCCCGTCGTAACCTGACAGGGGCGTTATAGGATGCCAAGGAGTACAAGATCACTTTGATCAATCCCAGGTGACCAATGAGGGATGAACACCCTGAAGAAATGACACGACCCTGTAAGCAAAACGCTGGAAGAGTCTTGGGACACCTTGTTTCTTCTTTTTTGTTCCCCGGTGTGTCACGTGGTCCGAGGTGCAAAACTGGACGCAGTCCGGCGAACGTCAACCCCTCGGAGCTGCGGCCCTCCCTCCAGAGGGGAACGTTTCTGAACGCGGCTCTGTCGCCAGATATCACCGGCAAAGCAGCATGATGGAGTTGGGACGAAGGCCCGTTTTGAGTTGTTGAGTGTGGAACCGGTAGCTCTACTCCAGAGTGCTGCGTCGAACTGGAGTGTTTTAGCCAAAAGGGGTTCCTGAAGCGAAGACCCTTTTTTTGCGTCAGAGGGTGGTGGGCATTCAATGTCTGGAAATTGGTAAACTCACTCACAAGGTACGAATGTTTGACTTTTCCAGAGGAAACGGATGAGGGAGGCCGAGCGGCCTTGACAGACCTTTTTCCTGTATCCCTGCGGAGGATGTCCATGCTTTTGGAGGCTGGCCGACCTGGTTTCTGATGACGTTGACTAGCACCCCATGCATCGCTACTGGAACCGTATAATGACTCATGACTTATGACTGCTCTCGATGAAGGGCATCATATGACTTTGACATGTCTAGGAGTACTAAGCGACACAGGGTTTAGAGAAGTAAAAATGGTGTCCACCAGGGTCTAACCAAGTTGCGTGTATTCATTTCTTGGAAGTGCAGAGTCCAGACATTCACGCACAGTCTTCCTTGAGGATGACATGTTGTGCTCCACACTGGGTTCTGAAATCCACAAGCGAGTCAATTGTTCTTTCTTTTTCAATCTTTTTCTTCCACATCCTGTTTCGACTGCGCGACGCAGGACATGTTTGCTGTCATGGACCTTCATGTTTGCTGTGAGACGCACGTGGCAGGACAGCAATGCAATTGAGACGGTGAATCAAGATGTGAGCCAAGAGATCATGGACCAAGCAAGGACCTGCGAGAGTCTGGGGTATCAACGTGCATGCTGCACGTCTGTTACGATGCTGAAGGAATGCAGCCATCATGGCAATATAAACATGTTGAGATGCCAGTCCTGCAATCGTTTGCCTTTTGTTTTTGTTGCGAAGTTGAAGGGCCCAGCAGACATAGAGGCCTGACAAGGAAAATCCAGGGCAAAACAACTGGGACATGTGCAACATGGACCAACCTTTGTGAGCTGCTTGTGTTGAGGACTCCAGATTTGGATGCATTCAGCTTGAATGGAGCTCAGCTCAAGGCAGGACCTTTGTTCGACCAAGAGGTCGAAAAAATGATCAAAGCTACTAGGAAAAAAATAGAAAACCTAATTGGAATGGCCTCCAACCTAGAAGTGATGGCCTCCAAGCTACTAGCGATGGCCTCCAACCTACTAGGAGGACATTTGGAAGGAAGAGGGGTGATTAGTCCAAAGCCGCCAACTCATCAGCCCTTGACCATCCTTTATGATGAGATTCACTTGTAACTTGTAACTGTCGACCTTGTCAACAGTGGAAGACACTAAAGATGAAAAAAGCTTGTACCAACCTGCAGTTCTCAAGTTCTCGAGTTGACTGCCACCTTTGGTGTGGCTCTAGTTCGATGACTCTTGACCAGCAAGAGTCATGTACCAGTTTTACTCCTTGGCACCAACTTGCAGGCACTGAGTGTGCGGATTCTGCGTGAGCACGAGAGTACCAAGGCGGAGAATGGACGGGCGGGCGGAGTACCAAGCTGTTCCACACAGAGATGGAAGCACCAGAGCTCCTCTTCCCACTGGTCCAAATCGAAAAGAATCGTAAGACCCAGCTCCTGAAGGCTGATAGGAGTGACTTTACCTTTTCAGGTGTGTAGTGACTCTCTTTCTTCTCGCGCCAATTCCACATCAACCACTCGCAGCCGCCCGTTTTCGGTCCACATCCACCGGGTCCAGGCACGGGGTCCGGGTCCGCGGCACCGCCAGGAGTTCGTCCGCCGCTTCGTGAAGCCGGTGGTCCTGGTGCAATTTGTGAACGTCATGGAAGCGTCACTTGGCACGTCGGGTGGGACGTCGAACAGGCGGGACGAGGTCGGGGGAGACCGCCAGGAGAGGTCAGATGAGGTGAGGCCACATGTGTCGAACAGGTGGTAGCCATACAAAGGGATATTGATTCCATGCGCATACCGCATACATCCGCATACCATACAAAGCCAGCAGTCTCCGGAGGGCCATTTAATTTACCATATGTTTTTTTGTTTCTTTTTAGTTTTCGTGGCTCCTGGCTTTTGTGGCTTTTGGCTTTCGTGGCTTTCGTGGCTTTCGTGGCTTAAGTGGCTTCTGGCTTCTGTGGCGTTTGGCTTTCGTGGCTTCTGTGGCTTTCGTGGCTTTTGGATTCTGTGTGGCTTTTGGCTTTCGTGGCTTTCGTTT